TACATTTCGCATTCCTGTGAAATCTCACCCCTTAAGATTCTCCAGAAATAATTCAAATGTGTGAGTTGTTACAGTAGTTAGCTTTAGGATCTAAAGTTATGGAATCTGACAGCCATTGAGATTTTGAACCCTTCAGAGGAGAGTGGCATTTCTTAGCCATATGCAGAACTTTAGAATTTCAATTTAAGTTGAAACATACCACATGTTATAAACACAGAAAATTTTCACTTCAATATTTACAATCCATAATTTCTTGAAATGCCTGGCTGCATGTTTTCCCCCCATTATTTCAAAGCTCTTATTTTATTTAAGACAGAAATTTGTTTTTACACTTCCTGAAAGATTGAACTGTTCTCTAAACAGCTGCATTATTTTCTGTTCTGAATCTGTATTACCAAGTAAAGATAAAATCCTCTTTCCTGCTGAAATATGAGGATGATCGGTTTAAGCGATATCCTGCTACTCCCAACCCAGTCGTTCATAATAGTTGATTTACACTTTAATGGTGTTTATCATCAAAGATCTTTGACAAAAACTAGTATTAAACTCCACGGTTAAATCATATCACTAGTTTACACATGATGCATTCACATATAGGCATTAGTTCACAAAACTTTTTTGTAGTAGTTAATCAACTCACTGGCACACTGATATATATGGCTTTTTAATGGAAGGGAAAATTATTTTACAGGTAAGTAGAGGGATCAAATTGATCGAGGGCACATACAAAGTCTCTTTCTGAGCTGGAAACAGAGCCAAGATCTGGATGTCCATTCTGCTTTTATATGAGATATTAAATGAATGTTTTAAGACATATTTTCCTTTTGGATATATAAATATTTAAATATCTAAGCCATATAGGGTGCTCTCTTGCTGTGATACTGAGTTCAAAAGAACTCTGAAGCTTACTATTTTACAGGTGAGATAAGATTCAAGTCAGTAATCCAAATAATCACAATAATATTTGGTGGAGTTTGGAGCTATATGATAATCAAGAGCAAAAGTGTATAATCAGCAAATAGCTGTGCTGAAATGAACTACAGGTCCAGTTCAAATTTTGGAGAAATCAGAAAAGACTGATGAAGACTTTCCATACTGTACATCATTAGTTCATTGGACTATAACTCAGTTCTACACTTTGATCACATTCCATATTCTGAACTAAAATAAACTATTTCCCTAAATGTGCCTGCTATTATTTGCCTAGAAAATATACATTTTAATACCTTACATAAACCTGACACAAAGCACGCAGGTCAACCAACATACCAGTCTCTATGTGACAAGAGACAAATGGCACTAATAGTCAGAGATTAATATAACCTTTACTGGAAAAGCACGCTTTTCTTCATTAGCAGTTCTCCATTGTCACCTTCTTTCAATTAAAACTAGGTTAGATTCTACTATTCCAAGTAATATATGATTCACTTTAGCACACAGTAATGGATGAAGTAAATACCATAGTTGTAACTGCTTTAAAAAAAAAAACCCTGTATTTTGCTTCTAGATATTCTAACCTGGAGTTTACTAGCTCATGCACTTCAGTTCTGTTCAATAATCAACTCTCAAAAACTTTCAGCACTTTATGGATCAGAGCCATTACACAGGAGTGTATACAGACAGTTAAGTTTTAAGATTCACAGACCACTACTAACTAATCAGAGAAATGGATCTATACTCACTGGAAATTTCTAAATAATCTTCAAATGTTGAATCTTCAGGTTGAGCAGACTGCATTATCAACAGCATCTAGGAGATTCTGAGAGAGAAAATGAGAGACTGAAAATGAAACCAGAAACTTGGCAAACAGGCAGCTGGGGTAGGACAAAATTTAGCTCAAGTATGATCTAATCCTGCAGCAATACAACATCCAATTAAAATACGTACTTTGAAATTATTCACCCAGGAGATGGCATTAGTCCCATTGAGCTCCTTGCTGCTAGGCTATCCATAGTTATGCTAAAGTTGGCTTTACTGGACAACTATTTTTTAAACAGAATTACCTATTTACCATATCAACAGAAATTTAAGTACTGTGGTTTAAATGCTTAGCAAAACTTCACAATAAGGGATCCTGAGAACTTCAATGATTTAAGTGCCCAACCATTCTCACAATGCATCCCAAGACATACAGAAGAATCATGCAGTAGAACACATGTATATAGACAAATCAGTTCACAGCTACCAGACAGAAAACAGTTAACTTGCATGATTTTGACAGGGATTTATCTCTTTTTAATATACAATATTATATATGTCCTGGGTTTAGCAGCAGCAGTCATTTTTTCTCCTTCTTGGTAGCTGGTGCAGTGCTTATAATAATATTTACATAAGCATATTATGTTTATACTGCCACCAGGCCTTAACCACTCCATGGTAAAGCTGAGTTTTGACTGAGATCTACTGTCCTGGTTAATTTTAGGCAGAACAACTTGAAGACAAATCACAAAATAAATGGGATAGATGAATATAACACACTACAAAAGCATTTTTGTCACCCTGATCTTTGGACCCTCATTGTCCATTACCATCACGATACAGGTTGGCATGATTACCACAGACTGGCATGATCAGATTGGCATGACTATATAAGTTAATTATTTATTTCTATCCACCTCATTTAAAGATCAAACTTCAAAGTTAAAAAGTTTGTCTGTTTTCAGTGTTCTGAAGCTTGCACAATAAAGCAAGCCACAAAGCCAAGAATACACACCCTTAGCTTTTATGACTTACATGCAACCAGAAACACTAAAACCCAGGTTTTTCAATGCACCATCTAAGCAAAAACTGTAGTTTTGAAAGCCACACAAGGATGACATAGATGGAAGAAGGAAAAATATTGTGGAATATTCCAACATTAAACAAAAAATACTGTAAATACAATATTAATTATAATTTTAGAAGGAAACCCAGCTTTTAAAGGAACTCGAAAGAATTCTGATTAAACTGTGTATCATATGATTCTGGTAAGACAACTGAACTCAAATTTTAGCATGTTAGTAGTCCTAAGTAACTCATGTAAATTGTGAGAGATTAAAAAGATGGCTGCTTGTTCTAGCACTGACATTCCAACAGAGAAGAACAGTTCTTTATCCTGTGAGTGCTACACCAACATAGAGACACCGTGAAACTCATAAATATTGAACACCTGTGGAGATTCCTACTTAACTGACAGATCTGTGGGGCTGATCTGAATGGGATCCTAAGGATTCATGCCCAGTGAAAAGAAATGTTAAGGAAAGGAAAAATGGGAAAGAAATGGAGCAACAAGTTTTGACGTGAAATTCAGGACCCAGCTACTTGCTGCTCATGTGGTAAAAATGTTTGAAGTAAAAAAGTTTGGTAAGCCTGACTTCTGAGGGAGATAAGAATCACAAGGGGGGAAAGGCAAGTTGTGAGATAACTGACTAGAAAAAATACATCTAAGAGATCTTCCTCTTAGTTGAGGACTTGCTCCAGAAGACCCTTGCCCTACTTTAAGGTTCAGAAAAACTGCTGACATAAGTTTGATGTAAAAATTCATTCTTAACCTGCAGAATGCCACTAATCTGAGTTACTTTCTTAAAGGTTAAGATAGACTGGATTCATATGAGGAAAGCAATCACTAACATTAGTTTTGTTTAAATATAGAAACACTACTTCAGATAACTTTGCATTTCTTAAATGAAATGAATTGGCAGGTTCTTGGAGAGAATGCAGAACCCACCTGAAAAGTAGAAAAGCTCTCTTGAAATGCTCAAAATAAAGGTAATTTCCTATTTGTTAGATTTTATATATACCTAAAATAATGGGAATTTCAATTTTCTACTGGATACAAGAGAAGGGGTTCAAAAGTTGCACTGCACTACACTACCCTGACTTACTGTCAGAAAGAACCCTTCTGCAAAGACTGTAAAGAGAGTTAATAACTTTATTATGCAACAATAAATTGGATAAACTATAACCAGACACTGGCTATTTTTGTTTATATATATATATACCAAATAAATAATATAGATTGACAATGATAACTACAAGGGTCAAGAAACACCCCAGTGCAATAAAAAGAGGTAATCTGACTCTTAACAGAAACTCATTTTGCCCATTTTCTGAGCTGCCTGAAAGGTAAGATAGGCATCTGTGATTAGCAGAGAACTGGGCATGGGCTCTGAAACTTTTTGAGACACTGAGCTTGGATTTATCACCATGCTAACACAACTATGCATTTTAGAGTTAGCTAATTTTTACCCAGTTCCAGTTACAGGGGCTAGCAGCATATATTTCCCTAAGTCAAACATCTTGAAATGCCTTGCCTATACCAGACAATGCTTCAGTTCACAGTGAGATACAGTATTTCATTTTTTCCCTTCACAAAAAAAAGTTCTGGAATTCTAATATTTATATCGAGCCAGTGTTTTTCTCTACTAAAACTATGCCTGCTTCTTTGAAAATTTTATAACTTTCATGTAAGTCAAGGTGATAAAAAACACATGAAAATGTGTGAAGAAACTGTAAAAAAAACATGCAAAAAAGCATGCAAAAACTACATAATAAGGCCTAACTGGTGTTCTTAAATAGATATTGTGAGATACTTCCCTCACCACCACTAACAGTAAACCACCTGAACAGCTTTCCTCTGGTAGGCTTCTTTACCTTGCAAGAAGAGGTAGAAAGCACAGGAAAAGTGGCAGGTGCTGCTTCTTCCTAGCACTGAAGAAAAAAAGATACTTCTAAGATGGAAGACCACAGCTTCGAGGAAGGCAAACAACAGCAGCTGGAACACTCATCAAAGGAGTTCCCTTGGCAGATTGAAGATAAACTCTGCAAACTACTGCTGTGAGAGTCTTCTTGAACTAGAAAAGCCGTAGTTGGAACATGTGTATTCATAACTACAACACACTAACTTGCATCAAATCCCATCTTAAGACCAAAAGATCTGGAAAAAAAATAATTTTACCTGTAACGCATAGTCAACTTCTAGCACCCTGTTTTGGCTTAAAGTATGGCTCCTTTCTCTGCCTTACTGATAATTTTCACTATAACTTGAATATAATGAATAAAATGAACAGATTAGAAATTCTTTATTAAGATGTGCAATAAAGATGATGTCATGATTTGAGGGCAGTAAGGGAGAGATGCAGCAAAGCAGTGTGGTCATGACTGGAAATTTGATTAAAGTAAGGTAATCTTCTTGAAAAGAATTAATGCATCAGTTGAGCTTTAGTCAGCCACATCATCCTGTAAACTGCTGTCAAGATAAGCTAGTACATAAATTCTCTTTGCAGAGATATGTTACTTCAGAAGAGTCCAACTAGCAGAAACATGGCATTTAGCGGTACTTGGAAAATAGACAGAAATGAAAACTATGAAAAGTTCATGGAGGCAATGGGTAAGTCCTACTTTTCCAATGCCTTCTACAAGAATAATACCACTATCACTGACTACAAACTCAAGCTTTCTATGAACTACCTTCTGGCTAGCCTGTCCTTTTGCTGCTTGCTGGTCTGCCCTTGCATAGTGTACTGCATTTGTCTTCAGAAGATCACAAGGGGGAGGGGGGAAACTGCAAAATGTTCTGATTTTAATTATATTATTTTAATCTTAAGCAACTTACTGCAGCAGATTTACTTCAACAGAGGAAAGAATCTCTAAGTCTACATTTGAGTAAAAGTGTCAATCTGAATATGCTTTCAGCAGAATTCTGCAGCAGGAATATTAATTTGATAACATGAAACTACTTTTAAAATTACACAGGAAGTAAATCATTCTTCAGTTCTACAGAAAGACATGATTCGAGTAATTTTAACATCATGACACTTTAAGTTTTTATAAACTGTGCATTATATGGATATAAACATAACCATTCCATTACCATTCCAGTTGGATAGTTTGTACTGGTGAATATGGCCTCAATAAAAAATAAAGAAGAATGAAAATTTGGGTTAGAATGCTGGAATAAACTCATTTCACCACATAAAAGTCACTAAAAAGAGACAAAGATGATGCTCCAGTTTTTGTGGTGGGTTTTGTTTCTTTTATTTTTCCTGATTTATATTAATTGATTTTCCTAGGTGTTAACATGATGAAAAGAAAGTTAGGAGCTCATGATAATTTGAAGATCACTTTTCAACAAGATGGAAAAAAATTTACTCTCAAAGAATCAAGCAACTTCCGTACCATAGACACTGAATTCACACTGGGAGTCGATTTTGAGTACAGTTTGGCTGATGGGACTGAACTTACTGTAAGATACTTCCTATATTATTAATTATATATGGCAATAACTTTATGAAGTACAGTTTCAAGATGAATAGTTTGTCTCCTAGTTTTTAATTAAAATTTTACTTTTAGTGTGACTGTTCAGGAATGCTCACAGCTTATATACAAAACCACAAGGTATTTACCTTGGTTTTGGCTGGGATGGAGTTATTTTTCTTCCTAGTAACTGGCTGAGTTTAAACCGCAATAATAGTCTTAATGATTCAACACTGTACCATGAAACTCAGGGTTTCACAGAGGGTCCAAAAAGCAGAGCAAAATGTAGCAATTTTCACAACATGAAATCCAGACAAATGCAATTTTACTACCTGCAATACTCAAGTCAAGAACCTAGAGGGCAGAGTCAGTATTTATATGAAATTTTTCTCTGTTGATGCAGTTCATTAAAATAGAATGCTGAGCACTAAGAACATCTTTTTTACTACGCAAAAAAAAAAAAGTGGGTTTATTAAAATTTTGTTTTTACAGCCTTTCTCTCAATGTCCAAAAAAGCATTATTACACTGTTTTAATCTCTTCTCACTTTTAAGCATTCCTGCAGTTTTTAAATCAAATCAGTGTCATATCTATAGTAAAACATTTGCAGGGTTGGGTTTGTTGTTGGTTTTTTGTTTTGTTGGGGTTTTTTTCCCATTACAGGGCTCTTGGAACATGGAAGGAAACAAACTTGTAGGATCATTTACTAGAAAAGATAATGGAAAAGTACTCAAAGCAAACAGAGAAGTCATAGGTGATGAACTTGTTCAGGTGGGTTAAGTGGTCACTTACATACACCTTTACAATATAATAACTGAAAAAAATTAAAAGCTTTTCTGAAAGTGGGAAACATTTTCTTCAAGCCAAATAATTTAAAATATTTTTAGCTAAAATTCTCAAATCAAGTAATCTATCAAAATTTAAAGATTTAAAATAAAACTCACAACCTCTGACTTCTGTTTTTCTACCCACGTGACCTGTATATTATCAATGCATTCTAAGGCTTGTGAATAAAACCTGTATACAGAAGATATATATAAACAGACAGACAGATAGAGAGCTAGACAGACATACAGACTGCGTAGATATGTTCTTTTCCAAGTCTCTGCCTTGAGAAGCCTTACCACAGCAGCTTACTACAGTGTAATGTTATCAATGGCCAATAAGTGCCCTTTTTGAAAGAAAGTTTGGTGTTGGAGCAGGAGATGACGCACAGAGGGCTAAGTCTGAGACAAAAGGGAAATGTTTCACAGCTCTGTAGCTGAACTGAACTGTAATGCTTTAGCACGCTCTCCGTTAGAGGGACACAAGCTTCTTAAAAGGATAAAATAAAAAAAATCACCCACCAACATCATGGTTGTGAGATGGGAGATACCAAAACATACAGTCCAACCCTTCAGTGCTTCTAACAAAAACAGTCACAGAGATGCAACCTGTTAAATAGTGGTACTGGGAACACAGGACTTCAACACTAGTTTTTTTTCTGAAGTCCCCCAAAGCTCTCCTGTGGTGGTCCAAATGCTTGCATAGAGAATTTATGCCTACTGACAACAGGCTGCTTTTCTCATGTTCTTTCCTCAAAGCCTGCACAAGAGTGGCAGGACCCTCACGGGCACAAGTCACAATTCATTAAATCACTATTGCCCATCTCTCAATAGCATCCATGAAATGAAACTGTAACACCAGTCACTGATTTTTCTTCCTAATTTCTTAACAGACTTACATATATGAAGGAGTTGAAGCCAAAAGAATCTTCAAAAGAGCCTAAGAATTTCACCCAGACCAGCACCAGAAAAAAACCCCAAAACAAAAAAACAAACCAAAACAATGAAAAAAGACCATTTTTCTATATATCCTCTATTTTGTTTTTTGTTTTTTTTTAACTTTTATCCCCTCACAGCACCTCTTAAGCTGAAATTACTTAGCCCTGTTGATAACACAGGCTAGTTCCTTATGTTTATTGTTTTGCCTTGAATAAACAAAATCCAATTATAATTTGATACCAATGCTAAAATGTTGTTTACACCAAGTCCTATCTGAGTGCCATAATGTAAAAGGCTGCAGAAATTATTTTCTGTAAGCAGAACTTAAATAATTTCTTGCATTGATTCTCAAATGACAACTTAGTTTCCTTACCATACTATTTATGTAGGTAAACAGTTTCTCTGTGTATTGAATTTTATGCAGTATGGATGGCAAAGCCTGAAAGAAACCTCAGAGCACCCAAGTCTCTAAGACTATGTTGTGTAAACATAAAAATGGAATAAACATAAAATGTGGTGTGATAATACACCTCACGGAGGTCTTAAATGATATCCCATTAACACCTTCCTCTAATCAACTGGAAAAATATAAAGCATGTACTGATGATATATTGGTATCTCACAGAAAGTAATTTCATTGTTTGTTTCAAAATATATGACCATGCTTTTAAACACAGAGATTTTCACTTGTTGCCATTTATCACAGGTTCAAATAATTCTGTGTCAGGAAGAGAATTAGCAGGCTCTGAGCAAGTTTCTTTCAGGACGTGAAAAAAAATATTGAAAGGATCTTAACAAGATATGGAATAATTTCAAACTATGTTGACTCCAAACACTAGTATTCCTTACAGGTGACAAATAAGCATCAAGTTCTGCTCATGCTGTCCAGTCTATGTTATTTTCAACCCAACCTCGCACCCCTTGAGTTGCGCTGTTTCCTCAGGGCTGCAGTAAAAGTGCATCTTGAAGATCAGTGCTAGTTACATCTGCTGTTTCCCTCTAACGATGCCTCCCAATGGTCAACTAGTCCTGTTCCCATGTCTAAAGGGCAATCTGCCTCCTGGTCCTGGACCCCTTCTGATGCATCAGCAAGCCAAACCTGTATGCTGCTGGTACTCTTGTCCTTCAGCAGACACGCAAGCCCTGAAAGGCTAATTTATGTAAGACTTTTTGCCAAAAGGTCACGATACCACACAGGCCTGAGGACAGCCCTGAGGCCTAAACTAACATTCACATGCAACCATATTTGTCATTATGATTTTAGTGGCTTTTTAAAATACCTCACAAAATTTACTTCCTGGTTTTCTCGGCTCTCTTTGACTAACTTTTTTTGCTGGCCATAAGCGAATAAAAAAGAAATCAGTGTTTTCCTTGAGTTATTTTTGTAACTGAATTCTCTCTTGGCCTGGGTTTTTCCGGTCTTCAGTGTCTCACAGCTCCCTCTACTGCCAAAATGCTCTCATGACGCTAACAGTACTCAAGTTAGGAGTAGGCCAGATGATCCTAGTTTATGAATTTGGATTTCACAGTATCACAGTATCACACAGTATCACAGTATGTTAGAGATTGGAATGGACCTCAAAAGATCATCTAGTCCAATCCCCCTGCCGGAGCAGGAACACCTAGATAAGGTTACACAGGAACGTGTCCAGGCGGGTTTTGAATATCTCCAGAGAAGGAGACTCCACAACCTCCCTGGGCAGCCTGTTCCAGTGTTCTGTCACCCTCACTGAGAAGAAGTTTCTTCTCAAGTTTAAGTGGAACCTCTTGTGTTCCAGTTTGTACCCATTTCCCCTTGTCCTATCATTGTTTGCCACTGAGAAGAGCCTGGCTCCATCCTCGTGACACTCCCCCTTTATATATTTATATACACACATATTTCCTCTCCCAGATACTGATTGTATGAAATTCCATAGACTCATAGAATAGTTAGGGTTGGAAAAGACCTTAAGATCGTCAAGTTCCAACCCCCCTGCCATGGGCAGGGACACCTCGCTCTAAACCATGTTACCCAAGGCCTCATCCAACCTGGCCTTGAACACTACCAGGGATGGAGCATTCACAACCTCCCTGGGCAACCTATTCCAGTGCCTCACCACCCTCACAGGAAAGAATTTCCTCCTTATATCCAGTCTAAACTTCCCCTGTTGAAGTTTTAACCCATTACCCCTTGTCCTACCACTACAGTCCCTAATGAAGAGTCCCTCCCCAGCATCCCTATAGGCCCCCTTCAGATACTGGAAGGCTGCTATGAGGTCTCCACGCAGCCTTCTCTTCTCCAGGCTGAACAGCCCCAACTTTCTCAGCTGATCTTCATATGGGAGGTGCTCCAGTCCCCTGATCATTCTCGTGGCCCTCCTCTGGACTTGTTCCAACAGATCCATGTCCTTTTTATGTTGAGGACACCTGAACTGCACACAGTACTCCAGGTGAGGTCTCACAAGAGCAGAGTAGAGGGGCAGGATCACCTCCTTCAACCTGCTGGTCACAATCCTTTTGATGCAGCCCAGGATACAGTTGGCTTTCTGGGCTGCAAGAGCACACTGCCGGCTCATGTTCATTTTCTCATCGACCAGCACGCCCAAGTCCTTCCCCGCAGGGCTGCTCTGAATCTCTTCTCTGCCCAGCCTGTAGCTGTGTCTGGGATTGCTCCGACCCAAGTGTAGGACCTTGCACTTGGCATGGTTAATCTTCATGAGGTTGGCATCAGCCCACCTCACAAGCATGTCAAGGTCCCTCTGGATGGCATTCCTTCCCTCCAGCGTATCAACTGAACCACACAGCTTGGTGTCATCAGCAAACTTGCTGAGGGCGCACTCAATCCCACTGTCCATGTCACCAACAAAGATGTTAAAAAAGACCAGTCCCAACACCGATCCCTGAGGGACACCGCTCGTTACTGGTCTCCAGCCGGACATTGAGCCATTGACCACAACTCTTTGTGTGCAGCCATCCAGCCAGTTCTTTATCCACTGAGTGGTCCATTCATCAAATTGATGTCTCTCCAATTTAGAGACAAGAATGTCGTGTGGGACAGTGTCGAACGCTTTACACAAATCCAGGTAGATGACATCAACTGCTCTACCCCTGTCCATCAGTTCTGTAGCCACATCATAGAAGGCCACCAAATTGGTCAGGCAGGATTTCCCCTTGGTGAAGCCATGCTGGCTGTCACCAAGCACCTTGTTGTTTTTCATGTGCCTTAGAATGCCTTCCAGGAGAATCTGCTCCAAGATTTTGCCAGGCACAGAGGTGACATTGACTGGTCTGTAATTCCCTGGGTCATCCATTTTCCCCTTCTTGAAAATGGGGGTTATATTTCCCTTTCTCCAGTCATCGGGAACTTCACCTGACTGCCATGATTTTTCAAATATGATGGCTAGCGGCTTAGCAACTTCATTCGCCAGCTCCTTCAGGACCCATGGATCGATTTCATCAGGACCCATGGACTTGTGCACGTTCAGATTTTTAAGAAGGTCTCGAACCAATTCCTCTCCTACAGTGGGCCCAAGGTCTTCATTCTTGGAAGGTGTCTGCCTTCCAAGACTTGGGTGGTGCGGTCAGAGCCTTTGCCAGTGAAGACCGAGGCAAAGAAGTCATTCAGAACCTCAGCCTTCTCCAAATCCTGTGTAGCTGGTTCACCTGAGAGCTTCTTGAGGGGCCTATATTCTCCCTAGTCTGTTTTTTATTTGCTATGTACCTGTAGAATCCCTTCCTGTTATCCTTAATATCCCTAGCCAAGTTTAATTCTAACTGGGCCTTAGCTTTCCTGACCTGGTCCCTAGCTTCCCGGACAATACCTCTGTACTCTTCCCAGGCCGCCTGTCCTTGCTTCAACTTTCTATAAGACTCTTTTTTCATTTGAATTTTCCTCAGGAGCTCCTTATACATCCAAGGAGGTCTCCTGGCCCTCCTGCTGCACTTCCTTGTAGTTGGGATGCAACACTCCTGAGCTTGTAGCAGCTGATTCTTGAAGACCAACCAAGAGTCTTGAGCCCCCCTGCCCTCTTGGGCTATATCCCATGTAACCTTACTAAGCAGGTTCCTGAAGAGGCGAAAGTCTGCTCTTCTGAAATCTAGGGCAGTGAGCTTGCTGCACGCTCTTCTCACTGTCCTAAGGATCTCAAATTCAACCATCTCGTGGTCGCTACATCCACGGCTGCCCTGCAGTGCCACATTTCCAACGAGCCTTTCCCTGCTGGTGAGCACAATGTCAAGCATGGCACCTCTCCTTTTCGTTTCCTCTATTACTTTCATTGTCTTACACACAGTCGAGGAACCTCCTGGATTGCTTGTGCTGGGTCGTACCGTCATTCCAACAGATGTCAGGGTGGTTGAAGTCACCCATGAGAACGAGGGCCTGTGAGCGTGAGGCTTTTCCTATCTGCCTATAGAGTGCTTTATCCACAGATTCCTCTTGATCAGCTGGTCTATAACATATCCCCACAGTAATGTTTCCCATCGCTGTTTTTCCTTTAACCCTGACCCACAAGCTCTCTGTTAACTGCTCACCTGTCCCCAGACATAGTTCCATACACTCCAGCCTATCCCTAACATAAAGGGCAGCTCCCCCTCTGCACCTGCCAGGCCTGTCTTTTCTAAAGAGTCTGTAACCTTCCATTACAATACTCCAGTCCTAGGAGCCATCCCACCATGTTTCTGTGATGCCTATAATATCATAGTCCCATAGACGAGCACACATCTCTAATTCCTCTTGTTTGTTCCCCATGCTATGGGCATTTGTATATATGCATCTGAGCTGAGCTCCAAATGAAGCCGGCTCATTGGCTGGAGCAGCTGGAATATCTCTGCTTTGGTCCAAGCATTTATTATAGGTGCTGGCAACTGACTGGGAGTGTTGGGATGGAATGATGCCCCCCTCCCCAAACACATCTAGTTTAAAGCCCCCTTAACCAGTCTGGTAAGCCTCCTACCAAAATTGCTCTGACCCTTCTTTATCGGACCCGCTCCACTAGCCCCCGCTAGACCTGGCCTACAAACTTGGGTCCCATGTTCAAGACACCCAAACCCCTGAATGTGACACCACCCTTTTAACCATTTATTAACCTGGCTAATCCTCCTAGGTTTTTTAGGTCCTCCCCTGTATCCTGGAGAATAGATGCGAAGACAATCTGAGCTCCAGAGCCTTTAACCACCTCTCCCAGGGCTCTGTAGTCCTTCTTTATGTTCCCCAGGCTACTACTATCTATATCCCTAGCACCCACATGTATCACCAG